GTGACCACACCTGAGCTGGGTGAGACCATCCCTGAGTGACATTCCATGTCCTGAGCCGTGGGTGACCATTCCTGACACATCAAGGGGTTAACAGTTCTGATCTTGTGCTCAGAGCTCTGGTTTGGGGCAGCTTCTTCTAAGTGAGAGAAGTTCTAGTGCTGTTCAGGCAAGGACCACAGTCACTGTTCTGCCAGAGAAGCATCAGCTGCTCAGGATGTTCCTGTTCCTTGTGGCTGTAATCACCAGTTTGCAGAAGATTGCAGCAAACAGCCTCTTTGTCCTCTGTGGGGCAGCTCAGTCTCAGAGACTGCAACTGCCTCGTGGCCTGGGAACAAAACCACTCCTGCTGCTCCTTCTGGGGAGCATGGGGCTGTCATCTCCTAACAGCAGAGGAAAGGACCTGCAGTCAATTCCAGCCCCTTTCCCTGCTCTCCCTAACGCTGTCCAGTGCTGCTGTACCTTCACTTGGGTGCATTAGGCCTTTAGAGAAATAAAAAATGGGTACAGTAAGACCTCAGATAAATGCAGAAAAAACTGTTGCCTATGTAGCTGTGGGAACCTCTCATTGTCCTCATTCTTTCTCTGTTTGCTCTCAGTTCCCTTGTGAAGCTTAGAAAGAAATGTAGCTCATCCCCTTGTTTTCCTGCCTCCCTGCACACGAGGGATGTTCTCACTGTGTTGGGGTCACTTGCAGGAACCTAGTTTGTGGGGCTGGGAGGGGATACTGGAGGGCTCAGAGCAGAGTCCTAGGGCTCTGCTCAAGACCCTTTTGCTGCCTCCCTGCCCTCCCCTCAGTGCTCATGGCAGAGCAGAGTGTGGTGGGCACGGGAGGGGTTACTGCTCTGTTCTGAGGAGACCCCACTGTCCTCTCCTTCTGAAAGGAGAAGTAGAGAGGGAAATAGAGAAGGTCTCTGGGAGCCTCAGCACTGGCAGCAACTGCCCTTGTGACAAAAGCAGTGTCTGTGGGGGTTCCCTCGTCAGAGTTTCATGGTGGGTTAAAGGGTTGGGATGGAGCTTAGAGATGATCCAGCCCCAACCCCTGCCCTGGGCTGGGACACCTCCCACCAGAGCAGGTTGCTCAAGGCTCATCCAACCTGGCTGTGAACACTGCCAGGGTTGGGGCAGCCACAGCCTCCCTGGGCAACCTGTGCCAGTGTCTCACCACCCTCGCAGGGAAAACTCCTGCCTAACATCTAACCTACATTCCCCTCACCAATAGTCCCAAGTGTAAATCCCCTAAGGTCACTCAGCACAATTTTACACCACACCCATCACACACAACCTTCTCTTCTCCAGGCTGAACAGCCCCACCTCTCTCAGCCTGTCCTTGTAGAGAAGGTGCTGCAGTGCTCTGATCAGCTCTGTGGCCTCCTCTGGACTCACTCCAACAGATCCATGTCCTTCTGCTGTTGGGGACACCAGACCTGTGTGCAGTGCTTTCTTCCCCTGTGCTTTCCCAGCTCTGGGGGTGTGATTGGTGCAATCTCCCCTGGGCTCCACTTACCTGCCACTACTGGAGCTCCTGTGACCATTGTGTGCACCATGTGTGGTGACCAGATCATGGCCAGGGGATGGTTTTGCCTAGTTGTCACCTGCAAAATATGTGTTCAGATGCTGCTGTGGATGTTGTGGTCACTCAAGAGTTGTAGCCTCCAACACATGGGATTAAATGGTCTTCTGATGGGAGAGGAACAGGTGCTCAGGTAAGCCCAGGTGAGGAGGAGGTGGGTGGGGACAGCCAGGGAAGGGCCTGGGGTTGTGTGAGCAGAGGAGGAAGCAACAGGAAAATGGTGAACTGGAAACACCCCAAGCACAGGTATGTGAAGAAGGAAGTGTCTCCTTGTGGGATTGCTCCTGCCAACCCTTGCTCCACCCTTGGGTGCCTCCTGGAGTCCTGTGGCACTGATGTGCAGCAGGGGGAGCAGACAAGGGCAAGGAGAAGCCTGTGGGCACTTCCATGACCTCTTTGGAGTCAGGGATAGCTGGCATGACTGGAGTGCTTGAGGGGTGGATGGGTACAGGCTTTTCAGGAAGGTGAGCAGTGGGAATGCCTGGAGCTCTGCCTCAGGACAGGTTATGGATTAGCTGAGCTTGTTGGTCAGGATAAGTGAGCAGACCAAGGTGGGCAATGTGGGTCAAGAACCTGATCTGATCAAGAAGATGCAAATGAGGCCTTCAGTCAGCTGGAAGAAGCCTCACATGTCTTGGCTTTCCTGGATCTCTTAATAAATAAGGAGTGATCAGGGATATTGGGCCAGGGCAGTGACCATGAGGTGGTGGTGTTCAGGATCTTTAGTGGATGGAGCAGAGGGAGAACAAGACCACAGTCCTGGATAGCAGGAAAGTAGACTTTAGGCACTTCAAGTCTCTGCTTGGAAGGATCCAAGGCACATGGTGTGATTCTTGGGCATGTCCTGTGCAGGGCCAAGGGTTGGACTTAAGGATACTTGTGGGTCCCTTCCAACTGCATATCCTGTGATTCTGTAATCCCATGGGTTACAGCCCTGGACAGAAAAGGGGTCTCTGAGGGTTGAGTTGATACTGAACTCCAAGATCAAGGGTGATCCATCCCCAGCAATCAGCAGATGAAGCACAGGTGACAGGAGACCTGTAGGGATGAGCAAGGACATATGGCACTTACTGCTAGCACATGGAAATAAGCTCAGGTGTCTCCTGGATTACAGTTTGGACTGAGGAATTGCTGCATGTTCTGCCTCTCTGATCTCCTGTGGTGTCCCCATTTCCCTTCACAGCTGGTGGTCAATAATCCCTGGGTAAATCAATGTTTCTGAATGCTCTGTGCAGTTCCTTAAGCTGTTTTCAAGCATCCAGAGACTGTAAGAAGTGTGTAAGGAGAAGGTGACACATATGAGCAGAGCAAGTTCTGACCAGAGCAGATGTGGAAAGGAGATGAGGAGAAACCTGAGGTCTCCAAGTCACGAATCCAAACAGCTTTGTCTAGGAAGCAATCACTGAACATTGCCACAGCACAAAGGCATGAAATGAAATTATAAAGCAGTAGGTCTTAACCCTCAGCACTGGCAGCAACTGCCCTTGTGACAACAGCAGTGTCTGTGGGGGTTCCCTCATCAGAGTTTCACACTGCCAGGGCTGGGGCAGCCACAGCCTCCCTGGGCAACCTGTGCCAGGGTCTCACCACCCTCACAGCAAAAACTTCTGCCTAAGATGTAATCTCAATTTCCCTCTTTCAATGTCTCCCCATTGCTCCTTGTCCTGTCCCTGCAGCTCCTAGCACAGATCCCTCTGCAGCTTCCCTGGAGCCCCTTCAGCTCCTGCAGGTGCTCTGAGGTCTCCACACAACCTTCTCTCCTCCAGCCTGAACAGCCCCAACACGCATTTGGTCCTTTCAAATGAAGCAGCTCTGGTTCTGTTTGCTAACAGGTTCTCAAACAGCTTTCATCAGGGGAT